TACCCTCCAGAAATCTGGTGCTTACCAGTGACATGGTGGGTAAGCACCAGTTTCAGCCCCTGTCCAGCCCCTTCCCTTTATGTGTCTCCCTCTGAGGTCTCCAGTTGACTAAAGCCGCAGGTTGTTCAGAACGCTAGCTCCCTAGAACCTACCACCCTGGCCTTCACCTCAGTCATCCAGAAAACCTTGCCAACAGCTACAACGATGATGGACTTTTCCACCAGACACTACTCTCACCCATGTCTCTGCAGAGGCTTTTCCCCGCTGAGGCTGAAGGGGCCAGACTCACTGTCGACTGGAGTACTTGGCACTGCTCCTGTGATTTTGAATGCGTGGAACCCGGATGTGCAACTCAGAACTCTGAAACCACATCTAGGCAGCATCTCCACACACTGACAGCAGGTGCAGGGTCCAAAATAGTCATATTGTGGCCCATGATGTATGTCCACATGCCTCCGTGCTCTAGCTCCCACATGTGCACAGGAAATGGAATCCCTAACACCCAGGCCTTTCATACTGCACACTGTCTATAACGGGGGGGCCACAGGAGTAGGGTGGCCCAGTGACATCTGAAATAGCTCTAAGAAAGTCCCCCTCTGTCATTTTATGCCACCATCTGTCTAACTCCGCTCCTGACCCTCCCTTTACACCAGTTGATCAGAAATACCTGGTGGTGGTCAGTTTGGGGTGCCTGTCAGTTTTAGGAGGTCCATCAGTTTTGGGGGTGCCCATCCACCCACACGCCTTTTTTAGCATCCACCCCTCCTGAAGGCCACTGCCATAGGACCTGATGCATATTCTCACGTTTGTGCCAAAATGAAAATATGCATAACAGATAACTTATTCAAAACCCAAAGTCTAGTTAGTGTGGCAATAGAAATTAATAGGCATCATATTCTTCATATTCTCTTCTTTAACATACTTCTGGATGGAAATTATAACTGAAGCCAGAAATTACAAGCTTCAGTGAGCAGATTAATGAGAAACCTTGAACTTTTGGGAGATAATCAACACAGGTGTTTGCATAGACAAATCTTTCAGTTAGAAATTACATCTTGATAAATGGTTGAGAAAATTATTATGGAATAGTTACATACCAGTTACCGTAACTTAAGCTGCATCAGTGCAGTGTCTGTACTTTATCTTAAAGTGGGGTTTCTAGGCCTGTTTCTCACTTTGTGCAAGGAGATTTCATATGGTATTCCAAGGTATGTTTCGATAGTTCTCAGAACTATTATCCTATGGCCTTAAAACAATAAATGTTCATTATGGGAAACCACACATATTAAAGTTTGTTGTAGAAATGTGTTGTTGAACTTTGTGGTTTGTAGTCAAAAACAATGTGTGTTTACTCATTCTAAGTTTGTCATAGGAGCTTGATAGGAACCACCAATCTTGTGATAATTACCTCAGTATTAGTTCACCACTTTAGATCTAATCTACTTAACCACTATAAAGGGGCTGTGTGGTATCTCTTAAAATTAAGAACATAGCTAAAGGCATTCCTGCTCATAAAGATTTATTTTACAAGTATAATGAAAGTGTTGATAACCGTGTATCTTTTAAACACAATGAGAACATGATTTGCCTCGTTAGTAACAAGATTCTAGGGATTCCACCATTTTCAGTTCAGAAAAGGATGTCGTCTACATGGAGTTTTTAAATAAACAAGTGGGTAAGCTGAATAATGAAAAGAAAGTCACTCAAAGGGTAATTTTCATGACAACCTGTTGAAGACGAGAACACAGGCTGTAGGACTCTACACAAAACTACCTAGTTTAGAAGGTGGTGTATGAGAGGTGATCAATAAACCCACTTTGAATCTGATTTGCAACAATTGAAGTTCTTTTCTACTAAAGGTAGTCAGCCCATTTCTAGAGACAGAGGTAACAGACAAAGGTCAAGATGCCAAGGATACTCTCTGGAATGTTATCTACCTACCCCAAGCCAAAAATTCCCACTCCATCCTCAAGAGGTAGCTGTGAGAAGGAAGTCTTCTATCTGAAATGTCCCAAGAAGAGGACAGGTACGTTGTTTCTTCTCTAAATCGGGTCACCTTTCTCTGCTCTTTCAGGAGCCTTTCCCAAGTCCCAGTGCCATGAGCATGGCTTGGGATACTTGCTCTGCCCCATTAATGCCTTCCTCTTCCTGAATCAGAGAGAATCAGTCCACCCCCGAATTCACATACCTATCCCAAAGACCCACAGCCCTTCTGCCCAGCTTCTCCTTCAAGGGAGGATCTGAAGGGAGGAGTGCTGGCCATAATCCTCCTCCAGCTATTCAGGTTCTGTCTCAGCTGCAGAGAACCTCCTCACCTGAGGTCACACTCTTGCCCTTGCTGAGAGAGGTGCCCACTGGGCACGGCTTCAATGGCAGCATTCACTGCAGCACTCCTGGCCATGCTGGCCAAGGCCTTTTGGTACATGAATCATGGCTCAGTTTCTTCCCCTGCCAGGTCCTGCTTCTGGTTCCTTCTTTTCACAGGTGTTGGATCTGATGAGCATGTTGTTCCAGAAACTCTAGCTCGGTTTCTGTTTCTAGAGAGTCCCGGGACAGCTGTTACATCTTTTGATCTCTTCATGAGACTACAACCAAATGATCAACCCGACAAATAATTCAAGTGAAGGGAGAGGAATGTCTGGAAGCCAATTAGACTATATCAGTGGATCTTAATATTTGAGCCTTAAGAAGTAGAACCGTGTCTTCAAATAAGACCTTTGCAAAACCATAAAGCAGAATAAAGTGGAGCATCTCAGTTGAAACACCACAGAGTCACAGAGAAATGAAAGTCAATGGACCAAATAGGTCAGGCATCGGAATGCTTGGGGCATTTCAAAAATACCGATGTCTGGCCCTCACCCCTGAGATTCAGTGTCAACATTGTAAAAGTCCTTCGGGTGAATCTAGTAGAGGGCTTGGGCTGAGAACTCACGAGGTCTAAGGCACTCCACTGGTTCCTAACACAAGATTGCCCTTTCCCCAATATGGACATTTAGAACAGGGCCTCCACCACCCAAGACTAAAGAACCAACTCCAAACCTTTACACTAACAGAGGGCTTTATTTATTAATCACTCCTGTGATAGCACTGGCTATATTCTCCTCCAAAAATCAAACAAAAGAAATTACAGATGAGCTCAAATCCCCTTTGATGTCCCTCATGCCCAGTATTTAAGGTTTCTCTTCCTGCTTTTGGAGCCCAATTCTCCTCTGCTGCCAAATCTCCTAGATTGGCCCCAAAGTTCCCACTAAGAAAAGAGACCATTTAATGTGGGAAGATGCTACACTGACCTTACCTGGGCTTCCATAGCAAACTTCAGTAGGATACCTGGCTTTGTTGTTAGCCAAGGCCTATCTGAATAGTTACATTGCATAGTTTTCCTTCTACATTCTGAAGCTGGAGAAAGATGAAAAAGAGCCCTTCTCAATTGGTCGTCCTGCCTGTCACCTTTTTTATAGGAAATTTTCATTTTCTGTATCTTATCAATAGAGGAAAGAGCTAGGATTTAGGTAGTTCTTAAATATATATGCTGGCCCCATGTTTAGTCTGTCTAGCCCCCAACGTACTTGAAAATTAGCATGATTGTATTTTCTCTAGTTACCTGTAAGAAAAAAAACACATTTTTTAGAATTTTGTTGGTTCTCTCTGTAGAGGCCCTTTCAAATATTTGATTTTACTTTTTTTGTTGTTAAAGTTGATAGCTAGTGTTAAAGTATCGTACACAATGTTTGAGATTATTCATGGTCAACTATTCAAGGATCCTTCAGTTCTTGGTCAGCTTATAATTTCAACTCCATTTAGTGCTGCAAAAATAGTAGCTTCCTGATCACCCCTGTTGCTAAGAGTCCCTCTCTTAGGAAACTTGGATATACTCAATGATCTCATCTCCAATTTGATTACAACACTGATGCCAGAAGAATTGTTATAGTCAAGGAAAATGGTTTTGATTCTACAGAGCCAACATATGCTGAACACCTAATATCCTCCCCAAAGATGTATATGCATTTATGCATATATTCATGAAGAATATGTGGTATTATTTTGTGGGTACTATATAAAGCTTTTTATTATTTGTACTCAACAACATATACATATCTTTTTGTTTTTTAAATAAATATTTATTGAAGTATAATATACATTAAGAGAAGAGCACAAATCCTAAGTGTAAAACTCAAAGAATTTTTACAAGGTGAACATTCCCCCAGTAACCAGCACCAAAATCAAGAAAAAGAACATTACCAGCACCAAAAAATCCCCCCTCATGTTCTCTCCCTGTTTCTAGCCCCTGATCACTAACCTAATTTCTATATCATGTATTAGTTTTGCCTGTTTGCCTACTTTATGTCAACAGAATTATAATATGTGCTCTTTGGCATCTACTTCCTTTTAACATTATCCTTATAAGATTCATACATGATTTGTACATAGCAATAGTTTGTTATTTTCATTGATTGAATACAACACAAATTATCCATTGTATTACTGATGGGTGTTTGGTTGGGGTATTCTATTATTAATAGAATCGCTATGCATGCTCTTATATATATCCTTTAGTATATGCATGTAAGCATTTCCTCTGAGTAGAGGTCTAGGAATGGAATTGCTAAGTGATAAGATACACATACATTCAGCTTGGCAGATACTGCCAAACACCTTCCTAAAACGATTGCACCAATGTATATTCAGAAGTATATGAGAGTTCCAGTTGCTCCACATCCTCTTCAGCACTTGGTATTTTTTTGTCAGTCTTTGTTTTTATTCTAACCATTCTGGTAGGTAAGCAGTAGTATCTCATCATGGTTTTAATATATATTTTCCTTAACTATCAATAAGGTTGAGCACTTTTTAATAAGTTTATTGAACATTTGAATATCCTCTTTTATGAAGACTGTTAAGTGTTCTGTCTATTTTAAAGCTTCAGTAGATTAAGACAATGTATTATTGGCATTAGGATAGACAAATAGACCAATGGAAAAGGATATAAATTCCACACATATATGATCACTTGATTTGTGATAATGTTAAAAGTGAGGAACAGTGGGAAGAAAATGCCTTTACAGTATTGGGAAAAGTTTTCAATTAGCAATAATCGCGCCTCGGATAAACCTCATTGGCTACGATACTGCCACTGCGCAAAGCTAGAAAATGCCTTTACAGTAAATCATGCTGGGCCAAAAGGATATTCATATGGGAAAAAATACATTGCAATCCCTATCTCACTCCATAGCAATGCAAAAAGTAAAACAATAAAAAGTTTTTAAGAAAACAAAGAATAATATCTTAATGACCATGAGGAGGAAAATGATTTCATAAACAAAATACAAAAAAGCACTAAATATAAAGTAAAACAAGTTATAAATTATAGTACTTTAAATTTCTGTTTGTCAAAGGGCACCAACCATTAAGAGAGTGAAAAGGAAAATCATAAAAGATATTTACAATTCATACATTTAACAAAAGACTCATATCCAGAACAGATTCTTTCAATTCCTGCATATTATTCCATAGTATTGTATATCATAGTTTATGTCTAACCCCTAGTGATGACCATTTACTATTTCTCCTTACTATCTAAAGAAATGTGGTAATGAATACACACTTGTACATCTTTGAGTGTTTCCTAATAAATTACCCAGAAGTGCATTCATGGGATAAAACAGAGAGTTTCAAACCACAAAGGCCATGGGGAAAGATTTTTTTTTTCTTCAGATGGGTTTTCTCCCATCTTGCAAATCTCATTCTGAAACTAATTGTCTGCACTTTCTTTGCCTGAGCCTTACCAATTTTCCTTTTTGTGAACACCCTAGCATAGCTTAACCAGAGTACACTGGTTTACAGAGAAGCCTTAAGAATTCTGATGAGGAGGAATTAAAGGACATAAGAAAATGTTTAGACAAGAAAACTCTCTAATATTCTCTCAAAGATTTTCTTCTTGGCTTCTCAGCTTTCTTTCTTTTTTTTTTAAGATTTTATTTATTTATTTGAGAGAGAGCGAGAGCGCGCGCACGCGCACGAGCAGAGGGGAAGGGCTGAGGGAGAGGGGGGAGGGGTAGAGGGACAGGAAAAAGCAGGCTCCCCACTGAGCAGAGAGCCCTACATGGGACTCCATTCCAGGACCCCAGGATCATGACCTGAGGCAAAGGCAGACACTTAACCGACTGAGCCACCCAGGTGCCCAGCTTCTCAGTTTTCTAAAAGAAATTATATTTATGTCACAGTTACTGACTTGAGCAGTATGTCTTGCATGTGGATGGGAGGCAAGCATCCTGGGCCTTTTAAAATAAGAAATATATCAAGTACCACCTTCAATTAATTGATTAATTTTTTGGTTACTAAAGAAAGATCAGACATCTCTCATTTTCAACATTATTTATTGAAAGTATTTTTCAAATATATATTAGTCTACTTTCTTGCTTTGGTAAATCCAATCTCTTGAATATAGCTGATTATTTCTTTATAGGTATAAAATCTTAGGATCCTTTGGACCATAATTTGAACATGAATCTTCTCAAACATGGCATTGATGAAAGAAAGTGCCCCTGGAACATTATGCCTTATAGTAGACCATAAATTTTTTAAAGGCAAGGACTACATTCAAATTCTGATTCTATTAGGTATAAGGTTTGTGATCTTGAGGGAGAGTGTCTGATTCTCAGTGCTCCCATCTGCAAGCACTCGGGTTGTTGGAAGAATGCAAGTTCCTAGTATACAGTGCATGGCACATAGCAGAACTCAGTGAATGTTCCTTTCCTTTCTCTGAAACAATTTTTTTCTGGAATCAAATGTAAATGAGTGTAGGAGATAGGAACAAATTTTTCTGATACTAAGGTGTAAAAGGAAAAAATTAAAAGCCTAATATGATTTTTTTGCCTTGTGAATTTCATCTCTCACCTGAAAGTGAGGTGACACAGAGAATTCTAGCATACCGAGATTTCTAATTATTTGCTTCCCATTAGTGATTGGGCAAACCTTCAGGCAAGCAACTTGGCAACATGTATCCCACTTCCTTTGCCCCAGCAATCCCTCTCTACTAATTCATCCTAAGGAAATAATTGAGCATGGACAAAGAATGAATGAACAAGCATATTCAGTGGAAGATTGTTTATAATATTAAAACATCAGAAACTCATCAATATGAGATTGGATCAGGCATAGAACAAAATATTATGAAATCTTTAGGAATTACAATGTAGCTTCATAGTTATATATTTATAAGATGCCCACAAAATATTGTTGAATGGATAAAGCAATTACAAAATATTATATATTAAATATTTTATTCCACTTCTGTCAAAAATGTATGTAACTGTATGTATGTATGCATAGAAAAGTCTTGAAAAATACACACCAATACGTTCATATGTTTATCTCCAAGTGTTAGAATTATGGATGACTTTCTTTTGAATACCTTTGTGTTTTATCTGAATTCTTTTACAGTAAACATGTATTATTTCTATAATCAAAAGATAGTAGAGCTATTTTTATTTTGAAATTTTCAAAAAAAATGCCAACTGATAATCCTGTATTAAGAAATCCTGAAAAAACCAACTCTCTATGGACCTTCATCCATCCTCATTTAAAAAGGAGAAGTCTCATTACTGCTGCATATATCAGAGTTTCTCAATGTCAGTACTGTGAACATTGGGACTGAAAAACTCATTGTTGGGAAAGAGTGTCATGTGTCTCAAAGACAGTTAACAGCATCCCTGGCCTCTACCCACGAAATACTAGTAACACACCATTCCCTTCCCCCTGAGTTATGACATCCAAAAATGTCCCCAGACATTGCCAGATGTCCTCTGAGGGCTAAACAGACCTGGTTGAGAAGACTGCTCTAAGAAAACCCCACATTTGCCACTTAGTAGCTGAGAGATTCAATCTTCCTGGGCTTCCGCTTCCTCATCAACAGAATGTCTACATTAACTTTAAGGTATCTTGGTCCTGAAATCTAGAGTTTTATGGGCTGGCAGAAAATCAATTGGTCCAAAGGGAAAGTGATTGGTCCAGAGTCATGCAGAAAACCAAAAGTACAGACAGAAATGTAGCTTGGTCTCCTGATTACAATCATACACTCATCCTTCATTTGTGTGACAAATATTTATTGAGTGCCTACTTTTTCCCAAGCACTGTTACAGGCACTAGGAAAGAGTAATAAAGGAGAAAATGAGATCCGTGCTTTCATGGAACTTACCTTCTGATGAGAAAAATAAAGCATAATCATAAATTAATAAATGGCAGTATTTTCATAGTGATGAATGACATAAAGTAGGTTATGTGATAGTGGTAGCCACAGGAAAGGTGTTGGGGACATTAGGTAGGAAGGCCCGGGAAGATCCCTGGAGTTGATACTTGAACTAAGACCTGAATGATAATAAGGAGAGAACCAAGCAAAAATCAGTGGGAAGAATGTCCTCACCAGAAGGAACGGAAGTGCAAAAGTAGTGAGATGAAGAAGAGTGTGGAACTGTATTCATGATACAATAATAGTAGTATGAACCCAATAAAAGAGCACAAAGGAAAGAGTGTCAACTTTTACTCTTAACAAGAGTAAAGGTAAGGTAAGGAAAAGGTAAATGGAAAAGTAATCTCTAATTTTTCCATAATAGAGTGAACTATGCTAAAATTTAAATCCAGGAAAAGCCCTCATATTATGACCTTCTTCAATAATGCAATTGAAAAATTTGTGTTTGGGGAAATTCTGGAAACAAATGCCCCAAAACTCATCAATGCCTCTCTATCACCATTTAGTACTAGGAGGGGGGTGCCAAGAAGATGTCACCGAATTGCTAAAGCAATAAATTGAGGGGATAATCTTTTTCATGGTTGGTATGCTCAGGGGGAATGGGTCCAGCAGATAAAATGATAACTAGATTTAGTTGACAATTTGCTTTGAGTAAAATGTCGAGCTTGTAAATAATTTAAAAATAGCCTGTCATTCAATTTGCAGCATGTCCTTTAAGAAATTTTAATCGATGCAAAACACATTTCTCAAACACAAGCTTCTAACCCCTGTGAAACCAGCTATCGGTCTAAACAAAAAGCTGAGACGTGGTCAGAACAGTGTGTGTGATGCTTATGAAGGAGAGTGAATTAAGCTGCAGCCCCAGAATCCCGTATTATGACAATATCCTGCAACTTATGAATTAGCTCTTGAGACAAAATGTAATGTGGAAACACACCCCTTGCTCAGCTTTTTGCTCAAGGGCACCGAGAAGCTGAGGTTTCAATCCATTCCTCAGAAACAATCAACATGCACATAAACTCTGTGCATTCTGGCTGCAAATGGATTGGTATTTGTTACATTTGCCAAAAGCACAGCATTACAGAGAAAGAATGGGAGGGAAAGGTGGAGGGAAGGAAGACAGAGCAACCATCTGAAATTAGGGGGTAGTGTCCCCTTGAGAAGAAGAACTCAAGGACAAAGAGGCACAGGACAGGATTTGGGGATGGGGGATCTCTCCTGACTCCCGCACTGTCACTAAGCTAAGCTAAACCCCTTTCTACCCTGCCCTGCATGTTGCAAGGGAGAGAACTAGCCATTGTTCCAAATGTGGGAGGAGCGGGTAGCCACCTTTTCCAGGCCAGCTGCTTTCCCTCTGGACAGCAGGAAGCCGAGGCATTGGCTTTTCTTTGTACTTCTCCAGCGCTGCCCAAGCCTGCGCTGCTGGGTCACACAGCCTGGTGGCCTTCTCTGACTCAGCTGTTCTTTTTCCATAGAACTTTTTATCAAAGGAAACCAATCACTGTCCAGCCCACAGCGCAGGGAGATGCGGCAGCAAAACCCCAAGGACAATAGAAAGCTCTGTTCCTTTAGGTTGAAACTCGGGGAGAAGGTTTTTCATTTTTTCCCTGCTTAGATCCCCAGGGTTTTTTTTATTTTCTTCTTTCTTTTTCTTTTTTTTTTTTTTTTTCCCAACACTGACATAGATTATGAAGGCATCATCCTAAAATGCAAGCATGGCAGCACCAGTTTGGGAAATAGACCAGCACCATTGGAGAATAAGGACACTCTCTAAGTGTTGAACTAAAGTTGGCTACATGTTTGTTTTTAATGAATTTGTTATCATTGATCATCGCAACATATATGTACTGATTTTATCCCTTCAGTCTTGGATGCTAAATAATCTGCAAAACTGCTAA